TTCAAAGTGTCATGACATAGATCCTTATAGGTTGTGTGTGCCAACTTAATTGTTAAGTATTTTTCTGCATTGTACATGTATTTATAACCTATCAAACTCATCATTTTTATCCATTAATCAATTGCTTTAAAATCTTCCAACTGACTTCAGTCTCCTACATCATGATAGTACCAACAAACGAGGAATTTATCATGGATTGATTAGTACTATTGGTTGCATCATAAAAGAATCTCACCAGTTTCCAATGGGGAAATTCATGATATGGGCATGAACACAAACAATTCCTTAAGTTGCTTAAATGCATCATGAAATTCCTTATTGGGTTTTTATGTGTAACGTTGAATCGCTTTTCTTATTTTCATGGATCTACTAGAATGGTAAAACTCTTGTTAAAATTTAGTTTCAAGTGATCACAAGTAGTAATACATAGCTTTTTCCTCTAAAGTGAATAGAATTATATTAAGCTAAAAAAGGTTTCAATTAGTTCCATGCGGAATCATGCATAACTCATAAAAGAATATTATATTGGTCGTCATGTTTATTTCCTCTAAAACATTGTAGGACACTAATGAGTTGTAGTCTAATTTCCATGTGGTGCTCGTTTCCTTCCAAAAAGATTGTGGGTAAGGAAGGATCGGTTTATCCTAACTGGAAATGAGAAGCTACATATTGCCTTTTTGTTTGTAGAAACTAAAGATATGGAAATTGATTACTTCAGTTACAATGTTCGTTGTTATATCCATCGTCGTTCTCATTGTTGAATCCACCATTTTGATTCCTCTAGTACATGTTCCCACCTTTATTCCCAAAACCATCCTTGTAATTGTGGTTTTCATAATTTATGAAGTTTCGATTATTCCCGTTGTTATTGTAATTCCTATTTTCAGCTCGATTAACTCAATGTATCCTGTTGTTATTCGACTAATCCGTGTAAGTAATCTAGGAAATTTGAACTTTTTAACCCTCTATAGTCCATACTAATTATGAAGTGTGAAAATTGATTGACGTAGGTCCTGTTTCTTGGCATCTTAATACCTCCTAATAAGGGTTAGGTCGGAATCTGTAACATTCAGACCGTTTGTTTACCACTTAATTTTAGCACTTACCGAATCAGATGTAGGAGCCCATCTAAAAAGAAAAAAAGACACCCTAGTCCATCCTCACATCTACTGTTCACTTTCTTCCCTTGCGAAAAATTCTATCACTTCTCTCGCTCCCCACCGAAGAGCACCTCCCCTTCGCCGTCTGTCGTTGTCACCACCCTTCCCAATGCCATCTCTGGCCATCGCCACCCTCACCATCGACAAATCTAGTTGTATCCACAATAGGTTCGTCTTTCTCTCTCTTTTTTCTTGTTTTTTGGGATATGGCTTCAAACTAAAAATTCTTTTAGTGTAGAAGATGCTCATATTCAAATCTGTTTCCACAGACATGTCATATTTCCTATGCATCATGTTCTTGGTCTTTAAACACTAAACCCTTTACATAAACTAATTTAAAATTTTCCATATGATATAATTTGACTGATTTCTAATAATGTGTTGATTTCTGAAATATATGGGTTGATTTAGGTGCGGTTTGTTTCTTCAAAGAGAAAATGTCTGAAGTCTGCGGACCACCTCTGCAATCCTCTATAGCATAAGAGGGGGACCAAACAGCTGTAGCGTGTAATAAAAAGTATGTTTGTTTTTTAACCTCTATAGACTGTTGCAATAAGTTAAAATAAGGTGTAAAGAGGTTTGAAGCATAAGGTCAAGTGCTGTGCCACGCAGCACACACACAACAATTTTTATACAGAAGTCTTCTGAAAAATAAACAGTTACGAAGGGCCAAGTATTGCGCGTGTGCTGTGCGGCGCATCAATAAGTGGTCAGAAGTGGTTTTTTAGAAAAAAAAAAACAAACACCACCTTTGTTGCTGATTTTGGGTTTACTTAGTTGAGATGGGTTGATTTCTAAGTATAAGTTGTTGATTTCATTGATTTCTGAAATATATGTTCATTCATAACTGAATTTTGTTGCTGAACCTTGCTTATTTTGTGTTTTTTTGGTGAAATATATTGTTAAAAATGTGTTCATAGTAGTTGATAATGTGGTTATAGTTCTGATTTGTTCCTCTTTATTGATTTGTGTTGGAATATGTTGTTCGCTTGCTGAAATATGTTCCTGATTTTTGTTGATTTGTATTGTTATGTGTTGAATTGTTATTGAAATTATATTACACATGGTACAAAAGAAGCCTAGGATTAGTTGGAAGGTAGAAGCTACAGAAAGAACTATCCTAGAAGCATGTTTGCATGAAATTGCGGTCAATGGTCGGGAAGGGGGTAGCTTGAAGGCACTCTATTGGAGGATTGTAGCTTGAAAATAAGCAAATGAACATAATTTTGTTGTGGACCAAAAACAAATGAAGAATCTCTATGATTACTTAAATTCAAAGTTTTCAGCTTGGTTATAGTTTAAAAATAAAACTAGGAATGTTTATAATCCCGTAACCAACACCTTTAGTGTTTCTGACAAAGAATGACAACTAGAAATCAAGGTATTTTGTTCTTTTATAAATAAATTTTTTTATTATATTTTAATAATCTAATATAAATTTTTTCAAGCAGTCGAACAAGCATGTTGAAACTTTGAGAAGATCACCACTACCCTTCCTCAACCTTTGCACACAATTGTTTGAAGACGCGACTTTGACATGCATTAATGGTTGGGGGCTAAGTTCTACCCTCACCCGTCTTACTCAAGATTCAACCAAAAGGGGAAGAGTGATGGCCAAAATGTACATGATGTGGAATGGATTTGTGTTTAACTTGGATTTTATATGGTTTTTATATATATTTTTTTTATGCTTATTCAAGAAGTTCATTCAGTTACATTATATAAAAAAAACATTAATGTAACGCTCATAAAATTCAAGCCAAATTAAAACTTTTTATTACATTTTAAAACCATCAAGTTATTATAGTTTGTTTTCAAAATAGTTTAGACATCAGAGTATCCCCAGAATCAATTCAGAAAACCATAAAATATGAGGAGCTGTACGATCACGCCTTTGCCTTCCTACGATCATCTGATGTACCTGAAACAATAAACTAAATGTGTAAGCCCGAGAGCTTAGTGAGTTACCCCAAAATACCAACACCGTACAAACATAACCATATCATATAACCAATACAAAACAACATGCATAATGAGTCGTCAGCCTGAATGGACCGCCTCACAGGCCTTCAGTCTATATGGACTGTTCTCCGAGCCTTCGGCACGTCTGGACCGCCTCGCAGGGCCTACAGCCTATCCGGACCGCTCGCCGGGCCTTCGGTCTGACTGAATCCCTTTGCAGGGCCTTCAGGTTATCCGGACCGCCCTGGTATGTTGGCCTCCAGCACAAAGCAAGACCGCCTCAACCCAACCCCAAATCAAACAAGCATGTGTACATAAATATCATACACTTGCATATATATAACAGTCATACCAATCATAGCAACATCCTATAACCAGGATATCGACCTAACCAGGTCACTAACATAGCATCATCCTATATACCAGGATACCGATATAACAATCATAATAGCATAACAACATCCTATCTACCAGGATACCGATCTAACAGATCATAACAACATACAAGCATACTATAACCAGGATACCGATCTAACAGATCATAATAACATGACAACACCCTAACTACCAGGTCATTAAACATATCACCATCCAAAATACCAGGATGCAAATCAATAAGCATGTCATGCAATAAACTCAAATACAAATCTGATAAGGGTCGGCGTTGGTGCCTTAGACCCTATTGATATAGTGAGGAGAACTCACCTGGCACTGCTGAAGTCCCGCGGATAAAACTCCAGCTACTGGTTGACAGCTTCCCGAACTGTCAACATCAAACAATACCCCGTTAATAATTGGGTTCCAAGCCCAAAGTCCAACTCACACTACAAAACCCAATAGTCAAGTAATGGGCCAAAGCCCAACACATGGCCCAATTTTCCAAATTGGGCCTAACCCTTCACATGGGCCTTACCCCTTAGGCCCAATCATCCCTCCTGGTCTAAACACTTGGCATACTAATGGCCCAATCTCTCATAACCATAAAGGCCCAGTTATGGCCCATCTATAGCCCAATTTTCCAAATTGGGCCCCAGTCCTCACATAGGCCTTATCCTAAAGTCCATCTAATTATTTTGGTCCATTAACTTGTTCTTGGATAGCCCATCAATAGTCCAATCACTAAAGCTCAATAGGAAGGCCCAACTCAAGGCCCAAGTGAAAATAGGGCTTTCACATGAAATGATGATTAGGGTTAAGTGTTTCTTACTTAACCCATTAAGGACTTAATCCATTAAGTCCATTATTGCCTTAAGTTAGTTTTCCAATGATTATTATTTAATATTTCAAGTTATTAAATAATCTCATGTGTGTCCAGATTAATTCTCAAAATTAAGGTTTTAAGCCATTAGGATTTTCCAAATCCAAATTACGGTTTCCTACCCAATACTAGCCCATTAGTCAACCGGTTGGGCTTTTAGGTCACTTTGGGCCTCATTGGGCCCATTAAGATTTTATTAGGTCAATTAGGGCTTTATTGGGCCCCATTAAACCCAATAGAGTTTCATTAAGCCCATTAGGGTTTCAAGCATCCCAACGAATCAATACCACAATGCAAAGCACACCGCCACCCGACACGGCGGCCGGTGGCGGCAGGAGGCGGCAGCCACCACCTCACGGTGGTGGTTAGGGTTTTCTTTTCCATTATTTCACTTTCTAGTTACATGTTACAATGCTGATACCCAAAATATTCACACACACACTAAATAGACAAACATACACACAACCACCCTATGGTAGCCGACGGTGGTGCATGGCGGCAGCCACCACCTCACGGTGGTGGTGGTAGTCTTCTTCCGAAATCCGACCAAAAACCACAGCCAAAACCACATACACACATCCTTATGTTGCGAGATAAACCTAGCCACCCACCTGGCGGTGATGGTGACACAAGAAGTCCGGCAGCAGCGGCTTAACGGCAACGTCGGCGGCAGCAACCACGAAGCCCACAGCCCCAAACGCGACCGGCTTCTCTCACGACCACGACGTCGGTCTTCTTCTTCTTCTGCCACCACGGAAATAACGACATCTGATGGCATCGATGAAACAGTACCAGCATCAAAAGATCGGTTAGCGGCGGCGCTCGACGGCCCTAGCGACGATGGCGGCATGGCTAAAAGGCGGGGCAAGAGAAGAAAGAGAAGAAGAGGCGTCCGAGGACGCTATCACACTGCCCAGACGTCGCTCCAGTCGGCTTTCTTCGCTCGCGCATGGCGTCACCGGCAGCAAAGGTGTGACGGCTTCACAATGGGGAGGCAGCAGGTGGCGGTCACAACAATGGTTCTCCGATCCCTACCAGGTGCAGCTACCCTCGACAGCCCTCGGTGGTCTCTCCCGGCTACGCACAACAACCGGCGACGAATGATGGTGATGATCCGATGGCAAGACGACAAGCGACGAGGTGGCGGCCAAGAAAGAGGATGGAGATGGCGGCTGGTGCTTAGAGGCTTAGGGTTAGGGTATTGACGGGAATGAAAGGCTATATACCCGGCTCCAATAATCTTTGGCCCAAAATGGCACAAATGGTCCCCCATTCTCATCTTTTCTTTCAAGCTAATCCATAATTTACGATTTCAACCCTCAGCCTTAAAATCCATTACACATTAAGTACGAAATTTACCAAATAGCCCCTATGCCTCCAAAATCTCTTCAAGTGAAGTCCCAATATTTACCCCTTAGTCCCTGCCTTCATAAATATTTGCAAAACTAACCCGGGACTTACATTTTAACACTTGACTTCTATAAATCTTTACAAAATAAATCCCAGAATTACACTTTCATCCACGGAGATTCAAATCCTGCCACTTGGCTTCCCGAAATAAACTCCCAGCTAATTGTTATTTGATTTTTGGGCCATAATGACATATAATAATAATACAATTTGCTTCTCGGGTTCCAGGTTATCATTTAATTATTATATTCTAAATGGGATGTTACAATTAAATTCAACAAACAAATAACATTTAAGGGTAAAATAGTCATTTTTATCATTTTACACTGAATTCAGAGGTTCCAACCAAACAACATTTAAAAATTCAGGTCTTAAGAATTCAAACCCACTTAGAAATTTAGACCTCTTAATTTTTCATATCTTAAGAATTCAGATCCTGAAATCGAAAAAAAAATATGAACCAATCAAGTCTGCCAATGAGATAGCACAGAAAATTGAAAAAAAAATCATGAATTAAATTGAATTTTACTTTCAAGATTACAAAAATAGCGTGAAGACTGGACTCAATCAAAGATATCAAGAAGTGAACCAACCTGGCCTTGAAAACGAGAACATCCGGATAAGAAAATTAATTTGATTTAGGGCTTGAAATTAGGCTTCGATAAATAGTAACAAATCAAACTGCAAGGCTGAATATGGCTACACTACATGAAAAACTTTGCACCAAACAATTTAAAAGGAAGTTGTGTTTTATATGGTATACCAATATATTACATTGTCAAAGTGTAAAAATGGTCAGAATCAGACCCCTGGGCACCCCTGGGCACCACATAAGCTCGCACCACATTAGGGTTTGGATGCTTGCCATGTATGCCCTGCGTACTAGGACGACACCCAAATTACGAAAATGCCACTAGGGCCCTCATTGCATTCTTTCCTTTACTTAGGGTCCAAATTGCAATATAAACAAATTATAGGTTCAAAATTAGAAGTGCCACAACATCGGGATGTTACATGACTAATTATAATAATTTCTCGTTGAATTTACTTGAAACTCACGATTTCAATATTATATAATTTTTGTCAATGTATTAATAAGGCATTTATTTTTAGTTAAACGACTTTTCACATGATGATCATTGAGTTTTCATCTCCAATAAACTTTTATCTCGTTATAAATCAAGTTTTCATTAACAAATTTTAGTCACATATATACTTCGTGTTTTGACCCTTATTTTCTATTATTAGCGGATATCCACATATTCATTAATTATATGAAGTTCACAAGTCGTTAACAACCACCACTCCATTGTTATTTAAGGTTTGAACCCACATTATATTTATCCGAATATACATGATATTCATTCACTAAACATGCAACTTATTAAACTAACTCTACAAGGTCACATATAAAACCGATTTTTAAGTTACAATCTAAACATACTAGTTCCACTTACAACTATTTTGACGTAATCTAGTAGTTTTTCATCACAAACAACTTTTACATTACTTTCCAGTTTGTGGTTTATAAAAACTTGCATCTTTCTTATATTCATAACATTGTCACAAAAGAAAACTATAGATTCTTAATTTAACACTTTACAAGTTTTAAAGCTTATGATAAATTTTGAAATATATACTTATAATTAAATCATACTTTAAAAATTCGTAAATTCAACATCTAACATATATGTATTCTCCCCCAAAGGTGTAAAAAAATTGTAAAGAGGGTCATAGAAGCTCACCCTAGATGCGTGAGTTGGGATTGTCGGGATTTTCGGACTTGACCACGAAACGCGTTTTGCACTCGAAGGTCTTGAGATTGATCTAGACATCATTAAAACATAAAGGAGTTGGAACAAAACACTACATGAACTAATTGAAAAAGGAACCACCGACTAGAGCCACCCTACCAGAGTTGCATGTACCGTTAGCCACGGTGGCGCGTGGCGGGCTACATGGTGGTTTTTATGGACTAAAATCGACGATAGGGGATGGTTTCTCACATATAACTCGATTGAATGAAGCAGAAGGTCGCCAAGGAGCTTCTTGGTCGTCGAAACATATGAGGAAAATGGAAGAATCGGTGGTGGTCAATGGTTCTTTTTCTCCGACGAACTAACCCACAAAACTCGATGTGGTCGTGACTGCTTCTATTGAGATCAAAACCTGATTAGGAGGTGTTCAGGTACGCTAATCAGTACATAAGGGAGGGTGGAAGTAGGTGAGGTAGGGGCTCAAATCGGAGCCAACAACCTTCGGTTTTCTGTTTGGGTTCATCCGGTGATCGTGCAACAACGAGAGAGAGAGAGAGAGAGAGAGAGAGAGAGATAGAGATGTTTCGGTGGGAGGAAGAGTGAAGTAGGGAAGTGTTGTGTTAGATTGCAAGGAAAGGAATGTGATATAAGGCAGATTTCTATGAGATTACATGGTATAATTGACTCTTGTTTGAGAGATATAAAGTAACAAGTTGATATCTTACTCTTTTACCTCACACAATTGTAATACTTAGCGAGAAATGGAGTTTTCACATGCATATAGTAGGTTATGTGTGTATGGGGGTGGGACATAACCTTCATATTTAATGTGATATTAGAAGATTTCTTTGTACAATGAGTCAAATCTTGAAGATATGAGGGTACTAGGATATATATATATATATATATATATATATATATATATATATATATATATATATATATATATATATAATCTATATATATTGCAAGTGTAGAATGTGTGTGTGTAAGGGAATGAAATCGTGTGGAGGGGGAAGAGAAGGGAAGATTTGTCAAGAATAAGATAGTACATTACTCACACATGCAAATTCTTTGCAAGATTAATAGACCACAGTTGGTACATTAGAATATTTAGAGTAAATTTGCGGGTATCACTTCCATGATCCATGTATGTATGTATTTGTTGTATGTAAGTGTATATGAAGCATTAGTCGAGTTCTAGGAGGTAGGATATGTGGTTATGACAAATTGTTATACAAAGGTCTATGTAGAATTAACATGATCTTATTGTAACTATGACAATTATTTGGAAGATTTAAATCTACTCTACTCATATTCCATTCGATTTTAAGTATATACATCTATAAACATTACTTGCAGAAATTTCAAGTTTTCCTTATGTGTGTATATTTAGGTTTCAGCTCATAATCTCGTTATATACTTACGTATTAACCTCATATTATGAGAACTATGTTTATATACATATACATGTGTTAAATCTTGCTACAAAACTTTACTTTATATATATATATATATATATATATATATATATATACACACACAGAGAGAGGTAAGTTTAATTGTGAAAATAAAAAAGGTCGAGAATGAGGGAATTATTCTCAACCACTCACTTATTTTGCCGCAAAAGCCTCCGTTGTACCAACGGAAATGGGAAAGGATTATACATGTATTTTCCAACAAAACATGTTTTCTTAAACTATGCTAATCATTACCTTAATATATACAAAAACATAGTTTTCTTTCGTTTTTTTGAATTTTTAAAAAGCTATTTTTATCGAAAAATGGTTTAAAATATATACCAAAATTCATGATTTTTTATTCTCTACAAATAGACATCTATATTGATATAGTTTTAAGATAAAATAAAAAACATTGTTTTTTATTTTTATTTTTTCAGCTATCGTTATTCATAAGTGAATAAAAATGCATCAGATTTTTAGTACAGTACATTCGTTATTCTCTTATGAATAAAAAATATGTAACACCCCGTTTATTTATTAAATAAATAAATTAATTAATGAATGGCTCGTAGCCCTAAAACAAATAATTATATATGAAAGGATGGTCTCGAAGAGCTAATTGTCACAATATTTATGAAGACGGGGGGGCTGTATGGTAACTATTAGGACTTGAATTGTAAGGAATAATTTAAGATAAGGGTTATTTGGTAAATATTGGACTTGTTTTGAAAAATCTTTATGGAGGAGGGATCAAAAGTGGAAAAAGGGGCTATAAGTTTGAAAGCAGCACGGGACTTAAAACCCGTCACTCCTTCCCTCCCGTTGAGACACAAGTAACCCTAGCCTCAAGTGTTGCAGCCACCATCTCCCTTGAAACTTCAGCCGCCACCATCTCTCTCATAGTCGCCGTGCACCACCGTGTGGAGGATGCAACCCATCAAGTCATGCGCCGCTGTCGCTGTTCCTGTTGTTGCTGGAGAAGGAGACCAGCGAAGGAGCGTGGTTCAGTCGAAAATGACCGGAGAAACCCCCCGAGATCGGAGTGCGACTTTAAACGAAGAGGGGAAGGTCGCGAACAACCATAACCTCTCGGTTAGACCACCTCGTCTCGCTTATCTTTGCTCCTCGAGGTGTTTGACGTTGTGAGTGCCACTGTTGCGGGTGGTTTCTTTCCCGACTGCCTTGTACCGCCACGAGGATAGCTGAGATCAGAGTGTGTTCAGGGACAAGCCCCCGACGAGTGGGTGTTTTGTAGGCGCGTGTTGTTGGTGAGGACTCAAGAAAGCTTGCCACCACCGTGAGGTGGTAGCTGTCTTTGCATATCAACGTTGCTGCCGCCTCAAGATGACCGATAGCGTGTGTTCTACGTGTCCAGCTCGCGTGTGTGTGTTGTAGGTAGTGTTGATGGCTGGAAACGGAGAGGATAACCACCATGGCCGCCAGCCATGGTGGCTGCCACCTTCTACCACCACCGGCCACCATAGGGTGGCTGTGTGCGTGTTTATGTTGTTTAGTGTGTGTGTTTATTTTGAGTTTCAGCATTGTAAAGTGTAAATTACAAATTGAATAATGAAA